GTAGACAGGTGTGTGTGAGTGAGGAGTTACCTGTGGACAGGTGTGTGTGTGTGAGTGAGGAGTTACCTATAGACAGGTGTGTGTGTGAGTGAGGTGTTACCTGTAGACAGGTGTGTGTGTGTGAGGAGTTACCTGTAGACAGGTCTGTGTGTGTGTGAGGAGTTACCTGTGGACAGGTGTGTGTGTGTGTGAGGAGTTACCTATAGACAGGTGTGTGTGTGTGAGGAGTTACCTATAGACAGGTGTGTGTGTGAGTGAGGTGTTACCTGTAGACAGGTGTGTGTCAGTGAGGAGTTACCTGTAGACAGGTATCAGTCAATGCGGAGTTGGGTGAATTTTCTCTCTCTTCCCCAGCAGTAAGAGATGTACAAATAATCAAGCTGTTATGTTTCGATATTTTTCTCTGTGCAGTTGTTATTTTTTGACTCTGTTTCTTCCCCATCAGTTTTTTGATCCCCTCAGCCACGTGGACAATGCCAACCTCCTGCACTATCGCCCCGAGTGGTATTGGAATCTGATTGGAACATGTTGTGTGCGAGCTGCCCACTCTCAGTGGGAATTCAGAGCTTTTGTGTTTATTGCTGCTGTTGGCCTTGGCAGCTGATAGACTCTTTATCAATATCACGTGATCTCTGTCTGTTACTAATGTGCTCTTGTATGTATCCAATCCTTCCTGTATCCTTAACTGCTTCGTGCCTTTACATCCAAAGAGTATGTATTCCTGAGTGTCTCCACAGGCTGTTCTGCCACCAGACATAATCCGGTAACATTTTCATTTCTGATTTTTTATCTTGGGCTGTAGTCAGGTTTGGACGAGCTGATTAAAGTGGGTATGTACCTCTGGGTGGTGGGGATTTCCTCCTTCTCTGGGCTAAGTATGTAAAAGAGTTTTAAATTTGGAGCTTGATTTGAACTTTGGTGATAATGGATTCCTGATGAAATGCTATAACTGGGCCTGTATCTGCGTGCTTTGTTTGCAGAGATGCATATCTCCTGGCTCTGATTAACAGCACCACCAGCTTCTTCTCTGGGTTTGTTGTATTCTCTGTGCTTGGCTTTATGGCATCTGAACAAGGGATGGATATCTCCAAAGTGGCTGAGTCTGGTGAGAATGCACTCAATGAGAAGCTTTGCTTGTTGCAGAATATGGAGCAGTCAGAATTAGGAAGGGAGTTTTCATCAAGTTTCGTTGTAGCTTCCAGAAGGACAGAGTTAACTGTCATCATGACATTGGGCTTGAGAACTCAGAGAGACACATGGAGAAGACTCCAAGGAAACCAGCTGGTGATGGGCTGTAATGGCATGGGGATAAAGGGATATTGGAAATAGCCTGGGTCTGGCTTGGAGACATAGTCAAAGATTCATATAATCATACAGCACCAAAACAGACCCGTCGGTCCAAATCATCCATGCAGATCAGATACCCTAAACTGATCTAGTCCCATTTGCCAGCATTTGCCCCATCTCCCCCTAAACATTTCCTATTCATATACCCATCCAGATGCCTTTTAAATGTTGTAATTGTACCAGCCTCCACCACTTCCTCTGGCAGCTCATTCCATACATGCATCACCCTCTGTG